ATTTGATTTGAAGATTTAAAATCAAATAATCAAATCAAATTCAAATCTAGATTTTTTAAATCAAATCAAATTTAAATTCAAATTTTTAAATCAAATCAAATTTAAATAAGTCTAATATTTAATTTGATTTAATTTTGAGGAATTCTAATAGTTACTGTCTTAATGAGTTAGATCGCTGATCTGTTACTAAAATCATATTAAGTATTACTGAATATCTAGAAGAAAGATTAGACATTTGTATAATATATAAGTTATATAAAGATATGCAAACTAATATTAGTAATGCAAACCCATAATAATCCTGAGAAGTCATATAAAATCAAGAAAATAAAGAAATAGATACCTGCTTGAGAAGTCCTAAAAAGAGAAATAGTACAAAATTTTCAACAGTATTATTAAAATAGAATACACCTGAGGCTAGTATAATTGAACAAGAACCAGGTATTTAGAAAGATATTTTACCAACCAGGCTGCCAGAATTAACTAGAAAAAAAGAATTTGCTTAAATACAGATACTAGAAAACTAATAATCTGAGAATAAAAGTTTCTCTTGGGCATTTGGATTGGAGACTAGCTAGAGAGATACTGAAAAGAAAGATACTAGTAGACTTGAAGAGGAATACCAGAATTTGGGTGAACTCTTTAAAAGCAAGGAGTAAAAGTTGCAAGTTCTAGTTCTTAGATTAAAGTATAAGTTACTAAAAATCTAGATAATATATATATGGAATATAGACCATTCTGATAGGTTTATCACAAAGATAAAATTGTTCTAAGAAGAAATAACAAGTTTGCTTAAAAAAAATATTTTGATAGTACCAAATTGATCAGAGAATTTAAATAAGGAATTCACAAGCAGGTCTTAGATATAGCAATTGATAGATAACTATAGATAAAAATAAATATAGTAAAATTCTTAATTAGGCAATGACTAAAGTTGTATATATAACCAATTTATACTCTCATTAATATAACAATATCAAGTATGGCTATGGCTATGCTAACATTTAAACTTAAGGATAAATAAAATAGGCTCAACCCCAAAGTGATCACCTTAATATTAAAAAAAATATATATTAAAAATAATTTGATATAAATTTCTTTTATAAAGATGTTTGCTATTTTATACTTGGTTATTATAGCTATAAAAAATTCAGAAGCCTGCCTAATATATTTGGTCTAACCATTATTATCATGATTCTCTATATAATTAATTGTAATTTATATAATTTATACTAAATACTATAATTATTTAGTTTTTAGTTTTTAATCTTGGAATTAGTTTAAATAAGAGACCAAATAGATAAATTATCTCTAATAATCATTACTAGAATGAATCTATACAATTAAAATTCTAGTCACACCATCCACTTTATATTTAATCTAATTGGTCAATTTGATTCATGTGATTAATGTTATTAATAATCATTAAACAATTCAAATAAAAAACTATCTCTAATAATAATTAATTACTAGAATCTACTAAATAATCTATTCATTTTGCACTTAGACACGAATATGCAAACGTGCCAGTCCGCTAGTTATAATAACCAAATCTTTGTTTAAAATAATAATTTACTAAATTTTTATGTTAATCTAATAAATTTAATTAGTTTTTAAGTTTGATACTATATGTTAACAATAGGACATATATTTGGGTTTGGGTTTTGAGTTCAAAATATGTAAAAATCCCAATGTCAAACCCAAATTATGTAGTAGTTTAAAAAAACCGGTTTGGGTAGAATTACTAATTCCAACAGCTAAAGTCTTGCATCTCAGAACTTTTAGAGAAAGGGTAATATTCCTTTACATGAAAAGGATTGCAACGCGATTTTGATCTTGTTTCTATGTGCAGGTATCGCTTCAATCCGTAGAAAATTATAATAAGTTGCCTTTGATACCAATGTTGATTAATTTACAGTTTTATAACCAATGATAGTTATAGGAGGAACTGCTGTTGCTGTAACCAATATTCTTAAAGATTGAGGCACTATGTCAAAAGCTAAATTAATTACTGTATGCGCATCACGTCAGGTAATTTACTAAAATAACAAATTTCTTAAAATAATTTTATATTTATTTTTTTACAGAGTCTTGAACATTTAATGAAACACCATCAAACGCTGAAGTTTCTGTTGTAGTAATTGATGATGTTTTAGATGATGATGTTTTAGATGATCATGATAATACTAAAATACGAAATTTTATAATCCATGCTTGAAAATATTGATATTCAATTAATTAAAGTTTTTTTTTATTTTTGTATAAAAATCCAAAGTTATAGTGTATATACCTGGTCTAGGTAAGTCATAAATTATTTCTTTTCATTATTATATAATTATATAAATGTTCAAAATTATATTTGGATTGACTATTCAACTGTCTTGTCAGAGTTGTAGGTGATGCCAGAGATAGATTATATGAAACTCTACATGTGTGAACTATTTAAATTAAGTTATAATTAAAACGATTGAAACTAGTTATAATGATATTATTGACATCTCATCGTCGCATGTATGTAATAACATTTATTACATAATGATTTCTTTAATATACATTTACTGAAACGTAATTTTTCCGATCTGTTCAAATATTTCATGTTCATTATTTATTATATTACGTATATAATATAAGACAAGTTGTACAGTCAGTTTTAATCCTGGTTTTATTCCAATAACGTACTATTGTGTAGAGGATTATAACGATGACAATCAGTTAAAGCCAGATTTTGAAATGATTTTTTCTTGAGTTATATATTAATTAAAGTTATATTCATAATTAAATTCTTATCATATTACCTTATAAGAGAAAGTAAGATACTTTCTCTAGAATTTAACAATTAAAGAATTTAGTGTCGGTTATAGATTAGTTATAGCTGTCTGTAACCAATGATAAATTTTAAATTGTTGAATTTTAGAGAAGGTATCTTGCTTTCTTCTTATAATATAGTATGATGAGAGCTTAATTCTGAATAATTAATAACTTGCGAAGAAAAAATAATTTCAAAATTTAGTAATTTAACTTCAACTGATTGTCATCAGTTATAACCGAACCCATCCTTAATTGTGTATGAAAAAAAGATTTACCTATCATTTTCGACCTTTTCTTCCCTTCTTCTTCTGAGGTGAAGCAGTTGAAGTATTTGATCCACTTCCTGAAGCAGCTTGTCCTGTTGTTACTGGAGTTGAAGTAGAACTAGCTGTAGACCCAGAATCGTTACTTTTTCCCTCTTTCAATATACCCCTAGATACTGCTGGAGAATGGCTGGGCGGAAATTGTTGTGGATTAGTTTTTTGAACCTCTGACATTACCGATGCCACTTGCTTGATTAACTCTTTCCCTTTTTTTCCAAAAAAAATCTCAGTAAAGGTATTTTTTTGAGGGTAAAAAGCCTATAAATCGAAACTTACGTGTCGGAATATTACTATTTAAAGGAATTTTCTGATCATTAAATAATTGTACTCGTACCCTTCCGGGATTATCCCAATTTCTGGGATGTGTTTTATGTGGCTTTTAATAAACAACACATATATACAAATGCAAACCGAAGATAGTAAAGAAAATTTAAAGAATTATGAATTAACAATTTAAATTTTAATGAAATTGAATTATACCTCGAATACACAAGATAATCCCAAAATCTTTACAGATTCGGCAAGATCTTTCGCTAAAGGATTGGGTACCGCGAGTTCACTTACTACTCTTCTTCCTTCTTGATGAGATTTAGTTGAATCAAAGTAAACAGGATACAAGCATACCCAACTTTACAAATGAAAGTATAAATCATTTAAAATGAGGAATAAAATTAAAAAATATTTTACAAAATAATTTTGCATACGTTTTATAAGCACTGTCGTCAGTGGCAACTTTAGTGAAAGGCGGAATGTCAGGCAACTCAAAATCTGGGGGATCATCTTCCATGTTCGTTAACGAAAGGTTTGGAGGTGGAAAGCCTCCTAACATTGGATTTTTTTGAATTTGAATTTGTTTTTTTCCTTTTGGCATCTTTACGAAACAGCTAAAAAACAAAATCTCATTTGACTGGATGATAAGCTTTAATTGATGTTACCTGTTACACGATGTACGTATGTCATCAAACCTGCCTGTCTAGCTGTGTGAAACACGTAGATCACGTTAGGGTGAAATCGATCTTACCCAGGTGGGGAAAGTCTCCGGACACCTACCAGTTCACGTGATTTTGCACCTACCAAAAAATTAAAGTTCAAGTAATAATTGCAAATTTAGCCTTTAACTAAAGTTGCAGAGGTCATTATTAAGATTCTAATGGTACCAGAATCGCTAAAATTGGTCCATTGTATCTCGAAATATAAGCATTTAAATCTTC